GTTTTATCGATATACAGGGCAAATGTCTATGGAGATTCTCAGTCAATCCAGGTCATGGTGGTCCCAAAGGGGCTTTTTCAAGAGGCAACTGGACATTCTTTTTTTTTTTTTCTTTTTTTTGAAGATGTTTCGCTTCTCATCCAAGAGCTGAAGAAGCTTCTTGGATAAGAAGTGAAATATCTTCAAAGAAAAACCAGAAAGTTGCCTCTTGAAAAAAGCATCTTTGGGATACAGGACAAATATTCTGCCTTTCCCTGAAATATATATATATATATTGTTCTCATATCATACACTTTCTTCTGGGGAGTCAGTGCAGCCTGCTTCTATCCTTCCTCAATGGCCTCTTAATGACTTTGAAAGGGTTCATCGACAAAAGGGTGAACGACAAAAGCGCGCCCAACTAAACCGCGGTGACAAAACCACAAGTTCTAAAGCGCGCTGACGAATGAGCACTGAAGCACGGCGACAACAGCGCGGCGACAAGCACGCTGTAAACCTAACGCTAACCCTAAACCTAACCCTAAACCATAAACCTAACCCTTACCTTAACTTAAATCGCGCTTCTGTCACTGCGCTGTTGTCGACACGTTGATGACGTTGCGGTTTTAGCGCTGTGGTTTTGTCGGCGCGCTTTTGTCATGCGCGCATTTGTCGGGTCACGCTTTGAAAGTAAAGTTAAGGTTGATGGTTTGGGTTTCACATTTGCACCAGATTAGAGTGGATTTATCTTTGGATACATGATTTAAATTGCTTGACAAATGACTGATTTGTGTGTTTTAGCCTCTTTCAGAGACCATTATTTAAAGACATGATGGCTTAATAGAATTTGCGGGTCAGTATATTGTGCAAATCCAGATAAATGGGTTAATTGTTGAGTCAGGTCATGGGTGTGCTTAGCCTAATTGTCGATACTGCAGACTGCTTGATGCTGTCTGATTTTTGATGGGTTGGTTGTACATTTTTCATTACCTGTAAAAGGTACGTTTGGGAGATGGAGCAAAGAGAGAAGTACTGCCTAGGAAATAGTCAGATAAGAGACAGCTCAGCCCACAGCTGCATAATGGGTGGGAAAAAACTCAGAAGGGATCCTTCCCTTGTTTCTCGGACTGATGTCAGCCTTACCAGGTAAATCAGATAGGAAATGCCAGCAAATTAATTAATTGTACTTTAGTGTAACGCAGGCAATCTTAAACACTCAAAGAGCCATTTGGACCCGTTTCCCACAGAAAAGAAAACATCAGGAGCCACAAAAACCCTTCCCATGCCTGACTATTTCCTGAGCGGCCACAAAACTATCATATGTAGTTGATTTAAACATTCTGTTTTCTCCTGAAACTTTTCTTGGATTTATCTATGGTTGGCCTACCGGGGGTCAAAAAGCTCAATAAATTGTGGGCCGATGGGTCCCACCCATTGGTGGTTGTGACGCATATTTTGAGCGACAGGAAGCCACAGCAGGGGGATGACAGAGCCGCAGATTACTGACCCCTAGTATAAAGCTACATTGTCAAAATCTGGCAATCTGAAACCTTTCATTGTGATAGGAATGAAAAGAGGAGATACTTTCAGCTGCAAAGTGACACAATTTTTTTTTTGTGAGAGAACAAAAACTCTATTCCTTGTAAATGTAAAGAATCAGGTTTATAGATGGGTTTCAGAGTCATTTCCAAGCAACCCGTAGGGACTAAGAAAGGTTCTCATCTGATATAGGTAGTCCTCGACTTACGACTACAATTGAGCCCTGTTGCTCTGTTACTAGGTGAGAGTTGTTAAGTGAGTTTTGCCCCACTTACTGACTTTTCTTGCTGCCATTAAGCAAACCATTGCAAAGGTCATGTTGGTAACACAGTTGTTAAGTGAATGTGGCTTCCCCATTTGACTTTGCTTGTTCGAAGGTCACAACAGCAGATCACCTGAACCTGGGACCCTGCAACCGTCATAAATATGAGTCAGTTGCCAAACCTCTGAATATTGTTCATGTGACCATGGGAATGCTGCGTGAAAAAAAGCCATGTCATTTTTTCCCCCAGTGCTATTGTGCTAACTTTGAACTATCATTAAATGAGATGTTGTAAGTCAAGGACTAGGGGGAAGTGGTGGCTCAGTGGCTAAGACTTGTCGATCAGAAAGGTCAGCAGTTCAGCGGTTCGAATCCCTAGCGCCGCGTAACTGAGTGAGCTCCCGTGACTTGTCCCAGCTTCTGCCAACCTAACAGTTCGAAAGCACGTAAAAAATGCAAGTAGAAAGATAGGAACCACCTTTGGTAGGAAGGGAACAGCGTTCCGTGCACCTTTGGTGTTGAGTCATGCCGGCCACATGACCATGGAGACGACTTCGGACAGCGCTGGCTCTTTGGCTTTGAAACGGAGATGGGCACCACCCCCTAGAGTCAGGAACGACTGGCACATATGTACAAGGGGAACCTTTACCTTTTATCTTATTGTAACTTTGAACTATCATTAAATGTGCTGTTGTAAGTCTGTAATTTGAGAAGTTTCTGCCAGCTGGTGTAGGCTGTTCTGAGTTACATGGAGCCTTGTTTTTTTGTTCCTGATCTCCTGCCTACTTATTTGGGAATAACTCCAACCGTGTAGAGGGCATCTCGCTCTTGAACCTATACACAGAAATTTTTTTATTATGACCGCTGTGTTCTATTCTGAGTTATAGTTATTTAAATTCTGGACTCTATTCCACCGTGTTTTTTTTTTTAATATCATTTTGCTAAATAAATGATTTCTTGAAAACAGATGCAGCTGCCTGTACTGTTACTGCTTTCACCATATGGAGCCAATGTAATCTTTAGTTGAAACAACTTCAAGGCAACTGTGGCAATTTTCCCAAAGCAATTTTTGGCTACAAACAGGAAGGTAATCTGTTTTGTTTGTCGTTGGTTCTTTTTGCTTTTTTCCCCTCCCAGTAGGAAAATGTCAGGACATATTAAAGACTTAATTGCTTTTTATCATCAGACCTGGGTAGTAGGTAAAGGTGCAGATAGGAATTTTATTCCGTCTTTTGGATGGGTGGATTTGATTTAAACCGATTCGATTTAAATCAGTAGGAAAAAGGGTTGATTTAAATCGACTCGATTTAAATCCTAATTTTTAAACAGCAACTATCATCTCTGTCCCACAGCAGCTCCTCCTCTGACTCGTTGTTGGCTCCCTGACAGTCCCAATATTGCAGAATATGCAGCCTTCATGCTACATAACTGAGCTCCATTTCATGCTGAATAAACTAAATTATTAATGTATTTTAAATAGAAAACTATCTTTAGATAGATTTTTACTCCAAAAGCATAAATTTGATAAAAATATTAAAAAATCCAATTTAAAGTTTGAAAAATCCAGCAGTTTTTATTCACCCTGTACCAAACCAATGACAATTAGGTGTACGAAAATAAATGCATCGGTGTTTGTGGCATGTTAAGAAATTCATTATTGCATAAGCTATTCTGTTTTCCTTAGACACAAAAAAGCAGAACAATTATAAGTGAACTCTAGTCTAGTCTACTGGGGCTATGAGAGGAATACAAAATTGGTAATAAGGGTCTAAATTAAAACTAGTTTCTTAGTCACAGGAATCCAAACATAGGATTCTTATTAAGATTGAAGTAGACTTTGACATGTCAGTAAAAGGGGATTACTTTATTATAACACTAACTGATCACCAGGTGTTGCCTGGGTATTTATTTATCCAAATCCTGTATTAGACAGGAAAAGCCCGGTTTTCGGCGACAATTAAATTAGTTACAAATGTTTTCCCTGTGCCCCCAGAAGCGTCAAGGAAAGTTATACCACCTTGTTGAAAATGTCCGAACCAAACGTAATTTCCAATGTTGGATTTTCCCCCTTACCAGAGGTAGTCCCCTTGTGGAGTACTGTAAAGCCGTTACCATGACAACTCCACTCTGCTGTAAAGTAGAAGCCATTTTATGGTAGTACGGTAGAAGCCATTTTAAGGCACAACAGGTTGTATCTTAACAGAACACACACACCCAGGGGTGTTAGGGGCATCTTACCCCCACAGTATTTGTTTCCAGAGAGTAAGTCATCTGTGTACCAAGTTTGGTTGAAATTGCTCGAGGCATTCCAGAGTTATGCTGGAAAACACACACACACACACAGGGGGGGGGGAGGGAGATACATACATACATACATACATACATACATACATACATACGGAAATTTTCTCGTAATATAGTTTAATACAGTTCATAAAAACATTCTTTTCATCTCGGTTGAGTGGAATTACTACCAAAGTGCAAGCATATTAATCTATTTTTGTATATCTCCGAAAAATATTGTTTGAGTTGATGTAATATTT